AAAGTAAAAAGGTGAAAAATGCTAAAAGGAGTAAAAAATGATCAAATTTGGAGCAAAAATGCAAAAATGGAGCAAAAGTGTTTTGGCGCCTAAGCGCCATATCCGACGCTTAAGCATCGGTGAAACAGAGTAAAAACAGAGTAAGCCGCGCCTAAGTGTCAGAGGCCCCGCGCTTAAGCGCCAAAGGCAGGTATTTGACGATTTAATTCCATATTCAAAATTTTGAAGGGACATTTGAAGCACCTATTAGCTAAAGAGGGTGGTTATGACCACTATAAACGAAAATATGATTAAAAGACTTGTGAAAGGAGACATCCTTTGGAGAATACATCGAATTGAAACACATTTGAAGAGTTGCCAAGGCACCTCTTAGAAATTTATAAAAGAAGGAAGTTGAGACTTTTAGAAGTGTGCTTTAATTGGGAGAGTCTTGAGAAGTTCTTGAAAAGTTCCGGGAGGAACGTTTGTAGAGATTTTCAAGCACCACAAATTTATTTATCCTTTTAGTTTTTAGTTTTATTGTGAGAGTTAACAATGTTGTAAAAGAGAAGAGATTCAAACAAACTTCAAGAGTCTGGTGGAGAATTTGAGATAAGTTTTTATCTTTATTTTTGAACTACTTTTGACTTTAATCGAGACTTTATGTTGGTTTGACAATGATTTCTACTTTTAAACTAAAGTGTGGTTTTGTTTTCTCTATGATTTCTGAGTAGTTTTCTTTATCTTTCTCGTTAAAATGATAAATAATTAAAATATTAGATGGAAGTTGTGGATAGTATTAGTCTTTAATGTTGGAAGAAGTTGTGATGATTTAATTTCATACACTTTATTTACTTCTTGATCTGGCCTATCGAGATGTTAAAATTTATCGTAAGAACATGTAAGAACCAGGCTAGTGTTATCTCTAGTATTATCTCAGTCAACAACTGGAAAGAATCACGTGAGGTTGTAAGAATAAGAATGTAATTCATATTATGAAGTGCAAATAAATATGAAAATAATCTTTGAAGGGTGTAGAGTTAGAGGATATTAAAGTGATAGATTAAAGCCCCCAACTTGGTTTATTTTTTTAGATTCTAATATGAGAAGTTAGCTCCCAGTTGAAAGAAATCAAGGGAACTCTAGAGTGAGAGCCAGTATCTTCTCTTCTTAGCCAGTCTTCAGAACTAAGCAAACATTAAATTAGCCAATGTTCTTTATAACATATCTAGTAAGGGCAAAGGATATTATTGCTCCTATTTGCCACAACCCAATTTGCATACTTCCACAATAAAATTTTTATACTTATTACTGATTCATGATAACAAGAAAAATATATTCATATCAAGTACTTTTCTTTTAAATAAACTCAAGTTATCTTTAGAAATTTTATTATTTTGTCAAAATATCAAAAATACAAATAAATATTGAATTTTACTTATTTAGAAAATATCTACAATTTAAGTAATTGACTTTTTAAAAAATAGAAAGTTTGTGCATATTGCTTTTTTTTCCCTATGGGTTCAATATTAAAAATATATAAATTAAAAAGCTAAACTCTTATTTTCTTCAGGATCAAGTTTTTGGTACTGTTGCAAAGTAAGGAAACTTAAGTAAAAAATATAATCAAATACATTGTTATATTGTTGCATATAAATAGTCTGGATCAGAAACAATTCCACCGTTTGCCATTGCTCTATAAAGGAACATTTAGGCTCTGATATCACTTTGTTGGAATGGATAAGGTTTTAGAATTTGATTCAGGATATGGCAAAAGCTAAAAGTTTATGGAAGAAGCTTTACTTTATTTTTCACATTTACTCGACTTGATGCAAACTCAACTACTCTACCCCTATTTATAGTAGTGACACCTCCTAAATTAATGGATAGGATTGTGCCACTACAATTCCAATCTAATGGTTACAAATAATTTAATACCTACCACACAATAATTCCACACCTAGAATTCCAATCTAATGGTTACAAATAATTTCATACCTGCCACACAATAATTCCACACCTAGCACATAATAATTTCATGCATACCACACCTACCACACATTCTGGAATAAACTTCTAGATGAGATGCTAAAATCAAGTTTATATTTCAACAAATATATGATATTTTTTTGAACTCTCATACTGGAAATCCTTATAATAAAACAAACCGTCTGAATTTCTATTTTGGTCCAACTAATAAATTGTAATTTTTCTCTTTAAGTGGTTATCTTAAAATACTGTTAATTTCTTGCTATGAATTCTACTTCTTTAGATGTAATTTACTTTAATTATTATTAACATTTTAAACAAAGATAACTATAATTTGTTCCCAATATTTTATTGATATGCTTTCATTGAAGAAATCATTAAGCAATATCTAGAAGAAATGGCTTTTTTCTAATATTCTGATTTAAAATAATTTTTTTATTATATTTTCCTATTGTAACTAAGAATTGTCTATTTAAATTGTACAAAAGTTAGATAAAATCAAACATAAAATTGAAATAACAATATAATTTTAGGAATTGTAAACTTTTGAGATTTCTTGATAAAATAATGAGCTATTGAAACTTTTTGTATTGCAGAATCCTTTTAATCTCTCAATAACTTTCTTATAAGAATTCTTCATTTTAACTTTATAGAAATATAAGAAATTTGACTAAATAAATAGTTATGGTTTATATGCATAATGGCTTAGCATTCAATTGTAGGATTGAAATGAAAGTGACAGATACTGTTAACACTCAACACTTTGAAGATTTAATAGTACAGGTACATAGAATGTAACATATCGTAGCAAAAAATTAACATGATGATACATCAAACTAAAGGTTTTTTCATCCAATCAAGTCATTGTTTAAGATATTTATCTCAAGTCCAGCAATAAAAACATTCAAGTATTAATAAAACATTACTAATTGGCTAATGATCCCAATCTTCAGAAGGAAAGTGGTTCAATCAAAAGTAGTGAGATCTGATCTTTTATCAGGGCTGAATGTGTATACTTATCGTGAACATCATATGCAGTCTCCATAACACGTGCCAAGTTGATAACTCTCATTAGAACAGCCTTTGTGAAAGTCTTGCTTAGACTGAGGTACTCATGGTTTAAGCTTTTCCAGGAACTTTCGACTAATTTTAAGAGCATCTTACAAGAATCATCTAATGTACTATTATGCTCGTTCATGTAGCATTGTACTGCAGAAGCCACATGGTTTCTCTTTTGTTCAAACTACAAAATCATAATCATATCTTAGAATACTTTGAGAGATTTGGTTTGCATTTCATAATACAATTGATTGGTATTACAAGTTCACATGTTGTTACTAAATCAAGCTCAAGTTTTTTTTTGGTTTTATTTGTACCTCTTAAGTTAAGCTTGTGATATAACTTTTTTCAAAGATAGAAATTCCATTTAATTATTCCTATCTATTTGGTAGTTTCTTTTAATTTTCTTAAACATATAGAATTTTTAAAGTTGTATTCATGTCACCTCTTGGGATACAACATCATCTCTGAGGCGACATATAAGTGATGCTTGATAGGTAAACTCTGGGAAGGATGATATCCAATCAAAAGCTTCTATTGTCACCTCATCACCCATTCCTATAAGTGATGCACATGTTAGTAAATTGTAGCAGGTTGTCACTGTTGTCACTTGCAAGTGTTCTTTTAATGCTGGAATGTAGCCTTCATTCCTCCATTTTACTTCCATATTCCATGCTCTCACTACCACTTTTAACTGAAGCACATGCAGAATGTTAAGAAAGCTTAATTAATGATCAACAAAATAAATTAAATTTTTCAAGATATGTAAATCATACTATTTCCTTGAGGTAATGCACGCGATAAGACTTCCCATTGCTGCTTAACTCATCCTCAAACTCCTGAAAAGCTCTGTTTAGATTATGAAATTGGATTTTCAAATATTCTTTTAGTTGTTCAGCTGCTTCCATATCCCATCTGAAATAAAATTTAGAGTTTTATTTATCATTTAAGTATTTTAAATTACTAAAATCAGAACAACTCAAATGAATTATAGGAGCAATTACATGCAGACCAGTTGAAACTTGTTATTTACGCATCAACTGTCGTCTTTCATTCATTTTTCAAATTCTTACTCAAATATCAAAATTCAAGGTAAAACCGACCCCAATTCATATTTTTCATTTTGATCAGATTCTCGATAATTTATTCGTGACATGCTTAAATAGGTTGGTTTGACGATTCAAAAAGATCACCTAGGTGATTAATTTCTAAATATCAATGTTTCGGGAGGGTGTGAGGGTGGTCTTTATGCATAGTAGTTATCCCATTATAAAATTATCTTCTTCATATATACGAATTAAAATGAATGGATGAAGTAGTAATTCGAACCTTTGGATTACATTAGTAAAGGACTGCAACTCATCTGAAGTTCCATAAGCATCATATATATCATCAGTGATTGATAGTAGAGCAATCACCTTTGTCGTTATCTTTCTTGCCTTTGAGTACTGGGGTTCAAAGTACACCGAGAGAATCCAAAAGTAGCATTCCACTATTCTATCTCTTGAGAACTTGAATATTTCGCTGCAACCAATACCCTTCCACCATCTATACAATAAATTAAATTTATCATTTATCCACAAATATAACATAACAAATCTAGAACATTTTCAAGCAAATTAAATTAGAATTTTATTTTCTTTTAATTTATTGATCGCATAAAATAATTAATTTTTGTGACCTTTGTGTTATTAGAATTTTAGTTGATTATAATTTTATTAAAGATATTTGATAATTTTTTTAAAATTTTATTATTGTATTGATAAAAGTAGTATACATGTATGTTTCTATATATATATATATATATATATATTTGTGTCACATAAAGTACTATCTTATCTTATTCCAAATGTTAAGTTTTTCTGGATAGGAAGCTAGCTATAAAGATAAAGTCAACGAAATATTTTTGTATAGGCTAGAACTAATTCCAAGAAATAAAAATAAAAAATAGAGTAAGACAAATCAATAAATAATCAAGAAAATGACTTACATAGAGAGGCTCCTAGCTTCTTCGTAATGAAGCAATTGAAGAAGATGAAAATCCAACTTCGCAAGCTCCAAAATGGTATCGTTCCGCTGCTCCTTATCATGTTCATAAGCATCAATATAATATCTGGCTCCCAATCTTGGGATTCTTCTATGCAATGGTAACTCTAATGCTTGTGATATTAATTTCTTCAAGGCTGGAGACTCATGCTGCAGGTCCTCCTTCTCTAATGATAGCCTCTGAAGATGGTGCTCCGTAAAGCTTAGCGCTTCATTTAATATATCATCCTCATGTGTAGCCATGAAACAAGCTTCATATAAGCTAAGCAGGCCACGGACGTCATCAGCCAAATCGCTCCTAAACTCACCTTCTTCATCTTTATATTTTCTAAACACATCTGTGTTTTATCAATACAGAGAAATATATATTGAGCTAAGAACAAACCAAATGAAAATAAATAAGACAAGTGAGTGCCAATTGATTAACTAACCTGAAGTAACGCGATAGCCATGTTGTCTTAACAATCTAAACTTGAGAGCAGCAGCTTGCAAATTAATTTCATGGGATTCTCCATAATTATGATCATAAATATCTCTAAGCTTTTTGTCAATTTGCTCTTCAAAGTGATAGCTAATGCCGAGGCGTTGAAGAGCATCTATTAGTTGAAGGATGTCAAACTCGTCCTTGGAATAATCAGTGCTTTCAAGCAAATTCTTCACTAGTCCCACAAGTTGTTCCACCCTCTCGCTTATCCATTCCTCCGTTTTCTGCATGCATGAAAATATATATATATATATATATATATATAATCTTTTTCTGATGGCTATCTCTGTAATAATTGTATATAGATTAAGTACCTCAATGGAGGAAGAAAATGGGGCGCTGTGTTTTATGAAGTAATCGCCCCACACAGACGGAGTATAGTTGGCTGATTGCCGGACAATTCCATCATCTTCCATCTCTCTCTCTCTATTCTATTTTTCTCCTTCAATGGAGCACAGAGCTCAAGGGATTGGTTCGGTTATATGGTGGGCGGACTTGAGGGGAAATTATAACTCTGAAAGTACTAAAAATTGTTTTTTTTTTTATTATATATGAAAAATTCAAACACGGCCTCTATAAAATTTAAAATGAGTGAAACAATGAACATGAGACACCTATATTTATGAGGATTATAAAATTATTCATCTAATTAAGTGCTATTATAATTGCAGAGTTGGCAAATGATATTATGATTAAAAAACTTTTTATCACAAAAACCTTTTTTCACTCTCTGCCTCCTCATAGATGATGCCAATGTCAATAATCAAACATTAAGTTCGAGAAAATTAGACTAAATGGCATATACGACAAGCTTAAATATATATATATATTGAAGGAAGACATAATGAGAATATTAGTAAGAGTTTCCACCCAAAGACTCTTAGAAAATAGCCTTATAAATTTGTGCAAACTTAGATATTAAAGGCTTAGTTCATGGCAGCGAAAAAGTTGACAAATTATCATAGGGTCTCCTTGAGGCAACTGTAATTGTTTTAAGCAGCAGCTGTGAAATTGTTGTAGAAAAAATTATTGTTTAAAAAGCTATGATAGTTATAATAATTTTTTATATATAATTATTGTTGAAATTCTTATAAGTCCTAGTTTTTAGCACTAACTAGTGAACGCAAACTAACCTAGGCTTCTATACTCAGACTAACCTGGGGTAGGTGTATGGTCCTCAATTTGGTATCTAAGTTAGCTAACCTAAAGTTCTTGTCAAATCTACATAGGTTCTATTTTTGTTCTTTATTTTGGTGTATTTTAGATGTTTATTTGAAGCTCAATATTTTTATTCATGTCATGTTTCAATTCCTAAATTTATCAATCAAGTTGAGAAGTTCAAGTTTTCCTAAGTTTCAAATTTGTTTTACTATATATAAATTTTCTTATGTTTGTGGAGAAAACCGAGAGGTTTACATCCTTATTTTTGTTTTATGTGTTTTTTTTCAACATGGCATGACATATGAAATGAACACAAATAAAATAACGCATATATTTAGCATTGGATTATATTTGGGCTAGTTTGAGCTGAGATAAGCTGAATTTCTAGCTTTGGTTAACTCAAAATTCAGCTAAGATATAATACGAGTCAACTGGCTTAAGCCTGGGTTGGGCTTGGGCTAGCTTGGGTTGAATAGGAATGACTCAGCTTAAGTTTAGTTTGATTCGAGTTGAGTTGGGTTAAGTTGCGTTGACCCGAGCTGAGTTGGGTTGGATTTAGATTTACTCAAGTTAAGTTGGGTTGACCCAGGTTAAGTTCGGTTTAACTGAGTTCACCCAGGTTAACCGGGGTTGACTCGAGTTAATTTTGATTTGATTTGAGTTGACACGGGTTAAGCGGGGTTGACCCGAGTTAAACTGGGTTGACCCGGGTTAAGCTAGGTTTATTTCAGTCAGATCTTGGTTGGGTTAGAGCTGAATTGAGTTAGGTTTAGGTTGGGTTTGACTTGGGTTAGGATTATGGTTTGAGTTAGGTTAGACCTAGGTTAGGTTAGGTCTAAGTTGGGTCAGTTATGGCTTGGGTCAGACTTGGATTAGGTTCGTTAGTCTAGACCTAGATTGGGTCAGGTGTAAGTTGAATCAGGTCTTGGTTGGTCAGACTTAGATTAGGTTTAGATTTTGGAGATGAGCCTAATTAGGTTAGTGTTAGGTTAGACTTAGGTTGGGTTTGTTCTAAGATAGTTAGATTTAGGCTTAGGTTTGTTTTGGACTAAGTGGGTTATATTTAGGCTTAGGTTTGAGGATTGTGTTAGGTTAGGCTGGGTCTAAGTGGGTTAGGGTTAGGTTAGTTTTGAGTCGACCTGAGTCAAGCTTAAAACCAAGCCTAACCCAAGGATGTTGAGTCAACTGGACTAGACCTAACTTATGAAAATAAATGCTCAATTAAAAGAGAGAAGGATAGGAGCTTACTAGAGAGGAGGTTGACCGAAGCGGATGAGGCTCTCCCAAAAACTTTTTCCTTATTCTTCCTTGGAACGATGAAGAATGCAGAGAGTGGAATGACTTAAATGAAGTGTGTCGGAGTGTGCCAAAGGCTGCCTATTTATAGGTTGGGAAGTTGGTGGCAACGCCCTCCGTAGCCGTCCAATTAGGTGGTTGATCGATGACAATGATGAATCGGGTAGTTTGAAGAGCCACGAATCGTCGATTGCATAAAGATATGAAGTTTCATGCTTTGATCCATGGATGAATGCCACAGATCTATGGCATGTCATTAGGAGTGATCACGAGGAGTGGTCACTCTAGATATACCTTGGTGTGGTCACATCTAGGTCTGGCATGACCACACTGAGAAGCTTTTAAGCATGGTCACACTCATGCTAGGCGTGACTATTAAGCACCCTTTTGGCTCGCTTTCATTTTGTCATCTTTTCTTTAAGGAGTCACCAACTTGTCTATAATCATATAATCCCTTCTCTGAGTAAACTCTTTCTAATTGTATGTTCTAGAGAAGAGAGGTAATCGAAGTCAAGGATCATAAGGTTGGCGTGAACTTCGCATGGACAATTCCAAGGCTTATGTCCATAGTCAGATCATAAATTCCTTGGAAACAAGGCCGTAAGGAGGACCTTACGAAAGCAACTCACAACCAAAGATTAAGGTTTTATTTATTTTTTGTGTTTTCTTATTCCTATAAGGGCAATCCTTATAATTAATTATATCTTAAGCAACTAAAGCTACTTAAGAAAACTCTTGATTAAGGCTATGATTTCATCCACAGAAGGTTGAGATTATCATTCTCACCGAAGGGTTTTAATATTTTTCTCTAATTATTTATTAGGACTTATACTGCACGACATACGATCATGTAGGAGCCTAAAAGTGAGGAATTATGTCGTAGCTAGAAGAATAACCTCAGAGTTTTAAGGTGAAGTTCACCTAAAGAAGTGAAACATTGGAACTCTATTCTATGTAATACAATAGACCCACAACCTTTTTTTGGAAAGTGCTACCTTTTAAACCACCTAATCTTATCCAAAATCATTTGTGGCTGGTCTCGATGATGCAAAATAGGGTAGATTGTTTTATCAGGAGTTATAGGCCTTATTACTTGATTATCAATCTAGCTGCCTAGATGTGTATGGCATGCATAATGTCCTAAGATAAATGCAAAGATATTTTTGAAATTTTAAATTTAAATGTTCTTATACCTCTCCACGTTCTAAAATTTAAATTCAATTGGTGTTGAGTGCATCGAAGCAAGCTATGCAATAGACTATGCAAATCCTTGATGATGAATGCATAGAAGGTCTATTGATGTTGTGGTTTATTTTTGTGATGTGTTGTAAATATCTTTCAATATTAAAATACACACATTGCAACACTAATAGTAAATATGTAGTTCAATCGCAATCACACTCAATTCTCTCTTAGAAGTGTAATAAAGAAGAAATCTCTCACCTTCTCTCTCCTCTTATAACCCTAGAAGAAAATCCTATATACTCCAAAACTTTTATCTCACCCCAAAACATTTCTCTCATTCTCACGCCCCCCCAAAACTTTTATCTCACCCCAAAACATTTCTCTCAATCTCACGCCCCCCTTTCTTCCCTAGACTCCTCTCCTTTTTAATTAGGGCCAACTTTCTTTCACAAGGAATTTAATACCTTATTTCAAAAGGAATTCCCTCCAATTTTTAATTTTTCCCCCAAAAGTCACATCTCTTAACACTAAGAGACAAGTCCCTTCATCCAAGAGACATATCTCTTCATTAAAGAGCCCTCTAAAGTGTTTAAATGCATTGAACCACTCCATCGGACGTTTGAATTGTTTGGAACCTTCAAAAATAGCTCAAAAATATTCACAAACCACCTTACTCCTTAATACATCTCTCTCGCTTCTGGGGCCTCTAGCACCAGCTTAATGAAGTATGTGATGTTCTCTAAATTTTGACACTTCTGGTGCCAATTCTAACGCTTCTGGTGCCTCTTCTCTATAAATGGTGCCTTTGGCGCCAAATTCTAGTGCAAGCTCTCTAGAAAATGGCGCCTCAGGCGCCAGGATCATGAAAATCTTCATTTTTGCTCCAAATTTACTCATTTCGCTACTTTTTGTTCCAAATGTACTTTTTGTTCTAAATGTCTAAAATTGATATACCTGTAATAAAAACATGAAAATACCCTTATTTAAAGTGTAATATCACCAAAATAAGTATAAAATGTATACATAAAGTTGTACATTTTTTTTGGTGTATCAAAATTCCCTAAACTTAAATGTTACTTGTCCTCAAGTGACCCTTTTACAACATAAAAATATGACTTATGTAAAATTCCCTAAACTTAAATGTTACTTGTCCTCAAGGACCCTTTTACAACATAAAAATATGACTTATATCAGAGATTAACTTATAAATTAATAGTTTAACTTAAGAAAAAATTTTAATAACTTAGGTTAAAAGTAAAAGTATAAGAACACCTATCAATCAAGTTTAAGAGTTTTGAATCTCCATTCATTTCAAAAAGAATATAACTTGTCATATCAAAGATATTTAGAATATCCATATGAAAAAGAATTTCATAGAAACTTTATTACTAAGCATGCTAATACTCAGAGACAAGTTTAAGAAATGTAATAAAGCTTTTTTTCTCAAGTTGATTCAAGTGAAGCCAATTAGAAGCCAATTAGATTCAAGTGAAGCCAATTATTTATTAGGCATCTCCTCAAGCTTTTCCTCACATATTTTTCTTTTTCTTTTGTTTTTTTTCTTTTTTTTTCTTTAGGATCATTTTCAATCTTTTCTTTTATTTTCTTCTCTTTTTCTTTTTTGATGTGTTTTTTTTTGATGTGAGGATTTGTGAGGATTATTATATCTAGATGGCTTTAATAATTTTGAACTTCACTATCCTCTTCTTAAAGTCAAAACTACTTACTTTCCTTCATTTTATAAATTCATGTTAACTTTAAAGATTTTTCATAAATTCTCATTCTATTCTTCTT